TAGAGATGAGGTCTCGCTGCCCAGGTGGGTCTCAAACCCGCGGGCACAGGCAATCCACTCCCCTCAGCCTCCCAAAGGCATGGGATTACAGGCTGAGCCACCTAGCCCGGCTGACTTTGATTTTGGAAAGGGGACTTACTAATCCACAGGGGACGCTTGGTCCTGGCCTTTGGGCTCTGGGGTGGTTTCCAGGTTCCAGCGCATCTTCTTATAGAGATATCGGGGGAAGCGGCTGGCCGTGTAGGGGGCTGGGGCGCAGTACCTGAAGATGGACACCTCCTGGGAAGGGGTAATAGAAAACCTCCCGCAGAAGAAACAGGCGAGGCTGCCAGGAGAAGACAGAGGGGGAGGTGAGGCTGGAAGACCGGGACTCCAACCCCATCCCAGTCTCCCACCCTAGTACCTCAGGGGGTCGGTCTCCTCCAGGTTCACAATCCCGCAAGAGGCGTACATGAGAACCAGCTGCCCCAGGCGTAGGGTCAGCTGTTGGGAGATCTCCAACAGCTGCATGGAGGAAGGGGCGTGAGGGGCTCAGCCAGCCTGCCAGGAGCACCCCCCACCCCCACAGGCCTGGAGCTGTGAGAAGGTCTAGGACGCCTGTGCCACGCACCCCCTTTCGGACCAGCTCCTGCAAAGCTCCATAGATGGGATGCGAATTCCGGGCCGCTGCCTCCAGGTACAGGAAGTAGGGCTCACACATCTGTAAGAAGGTGGGCAAGGCCTTGGCCAGCTGTTCCTCCCGGACTTGGTCCCTGCTGAAGGGAGAAAGGGGTCTTTACCTGGGATCCTCCCCCCAGCATCTTCTACCTGTATCCCTGGCCTAGAGCCCTGTTATAAGATTTCCTAGGGCCAGGCCTTTTCTGAGCAGCTTTCTGGGCCACCCAACATCAAAACCATTTTGTTTTGTTTTTGACCAAGAATCTCACTTGGTCCCTCAGGCTGGAGTGGGGTAGCAAGATGACGGCTCACCGCAGCCTCGACCTCCTGGGTTCCGGAGAGGCTTCTGTCTCAGCCTCCTGAGTAGTTGGGACTGCAGGCATGCACCACCACGCCCAGCTAATTTTTAAAATGTTTCTGTAGCGAGGTCTCCCTATGTTGCCCAGGCTGGTCTCAAGCTCTGGGGCTCGAGCAGTCCTCCTACCTCAGTCTCCCAAAGTGCTGGGATTATAGGCGTGAGCCACTGAACCTGGCTGAAAACCATTTGGAACACTTGTTAAAAGTGCAGACACCTGAGCATTGCAATGCCACTTTCGGCCCAAAACTCACTCCAGAGTGAAACCCAGAAATCTTGGGTTTAAACAGCCTGCCAGGAGATTCCAATGAACACTGACACTGGCGAATCATAGTCCGTTTTCCCCTGGTTTAGGAATCCCTTGATCCTTTGAGGTCTCAAACTGATAGCCTGCGGGCCAAATCTGACTTCGGGTGAGTTTTGGTTAGCAAGCAGAGGGTTTAAAATTGAAACCAACACTTGGAAGCTGGGAGAAAAAGTTCTAGAGATTTGACGACCAGGCCCACACTGCCAGTCACCCTCAGCCCCTAATTCTCTTAATTAAAAAAAAAATTTTCTGTTCTAACTTTTTTCTATTTTTATTTATTTTTAGAGACAGGGTCTCGCTCTGTTGCCCAGGGAATACAGGGACATGTCATAGCTCACTGCAGCCTCAGACTTCTGGGCTCAGGCAATCCTCCTGCCTCAGCCTCCCAAGTAGCTGGGATTACAGACGCACACCCCCACACCCAGCTAAGTTTATTATTTTTTTGTACATAGGGGCCACTCTTTGTTGCCCAGGCTGGTCTCGAATTCCTGGCCTCAAGCAATCCTTTCGTTTAGGCTTCCCAAAGTGCTGGAATTACAGGTGTGAGCCACCACGCCCGGCCTACCAGCAATTCTAGAGTCCACATCACTGAAACGGGATCCCTCATCAGCTGGCTTCACCGTCTCTCCCTTGGAGGTTGGGACCCTGGTGTGTGTCACCTATCCTGTCGCCCTCTTCTCCACGGGGACCCAGGACACGGCCAGCATCACCTGTAGAGCAAGTAGCTCTGGAATTCATCCGCCTTCTTGAGCAGGTAGCGGAGCTGTTCCGTGATGGGACTGAACATGGCGTCCAGGGACAGGCGAGGAAGAAACGGCCCGGGGCTGGGGGCCAGAGGCTCGGGGAAGGGCGTGGAGGCGGGGGCCTCCGGCAGCAGCTGCCCCTGGGCATCCTCGGGCTCTGGCTGGGGGGTGTCCCCAGGCCTGCCGGGGGGCGTTGACCACGGGGGGTCTCCGGCAGGCTGCGCCCCGGGTTTCAAGGCGTCTGGGGGCGGCGTTTCCCCAGGGCCCGCGAGCCACGGCTCCGTAGCCATGGTGGGGCGGCGGTGCGGGGAGCTCAGCTCTTTACGCTTCCGCGGCTCGGGTGGGCGGCAGCTCCCGGCCCGCCCGGGAGCCTCGGCCCCTGCCTCGACCTCTCCGCCGGCGCCGCTGGCGTCTTTTGAATTTCAGCACGCGGGAGGGGCGCGTCGCCGTGGTCCGCGCTGCGCACCCGCGGGGCCCCGCGCACACGCGCGCTCCGGGAACCTGGCGCTGGGGAGGCGGGCCGGGCCGGCCGTGTCCCGGGTGCCGGCTCCCCCATCTCCCCGAGGCGGCTTCCTGGAGGGGAGGGTCTCGGAGTCCAAACCCCAGGGCGCAGGCACGTCCAGGCCCCACCCCCAGTCTGACTCCCAGGAACCTGTGTTTCTTTTTTTTTAGACTCCAATGAAGTTGAGAAACCCCATGAGTAGTTACTAAATTCTGGGTTAATTAAAAAAAAAACACAAAACTTAGTGAGACTTGTGATGTAGTAGTTGTTGCTACTACTAACAATAAAAAGTCTTCGCTCGGAACATTTTTTTCTGTCGATCAGATCTCGTGATGGCACAAGCTCTTCTGGTGCTTTTATGGCGGGAAGGGGGAGGCCTGGAGACCCTACCATGGCCCCAGAACAGATCCCTGCCCCCGCTCTGTGGACGGGAATCTCTGTAGCATGCAAAGGCTGACAGGTCCACAGCTAAGAGGCCAAACACATTAATTAAAGACTCTGAGGGAAGAACTCAGACCGGTGTCAGACGCAGCCCTGCGTGACCCAGAGCCAGCGTCCTCCCTGTCTGTAAAGTGGGTTTTTATTTTTATTTACTTGCCTCATGGAGCTTTGAGAACTGACAACACGCTTGTGAAGCCTGGACCGAACTGCTAGTCATTCAACCAACATCTGGGCACCTACTGTGTGCCTGGCTCCATTCGTTCTGAGCGTGGGGAGATGACAGAACAGAGCAAGCCTCCCCACCCTCCCGGAACGGTTATGGTTACAGCAGGCTGTGAGGCAGCCCCCTTCATTCCTTCTCCCTCCTCAAAAGATTTTGTCCTAACCTGAAGTTAGCCTGAGAGGCCCGTGCATGCCCCTCCCCCACCCCATTCATAAAATGGACTCCGGGACATTTTTTTTTTTTTTCCTTTTCCTTTTTTTAAAATTTTATTTAAAAAACCTTCGGTGCAATATTAAAAAGCAATACAGCCAGCTGGCGCGACAACCGACAGAAAGTTGGGGGGGAGACCCAGAAACCCCATCCCAGCTGGTCCCCAGGGGCAGACTGGAGAGGGGGCATGGGTGGTGGGGGGGAGAGAAGAAAAGCCACCCACCAAAATGAACAGGCAGAACAAAACATTTATATCGGAAACGTCTGGCTGAACGGAAGAGATCTTGGGGAGATGAGAAGCCCTCCCCCAGGTTTCCTTTCTTCTAAAATGTCCTGGGATGGTGGGGAGGGTTGGCCTCCTGGGGTGAAATGCACAGGCTGCCGCCCCCTCCCCTGACGTGCTGGAGGGCAGAGGTGTGTGTGAGACACAAAGGGAGATGAGCAGAGGAGAGCGCCCCCTCCCTGGAATCTGTCATGAGGGCTGAGGGTGTCCCAGCTCAGCTCCTGGACTCTGGGGGTCTTGGGGGAGATGGGAGACCTGGAATGGGTTGGGGCAAGGGCGAGGCTGGGCGCTCAGCCTAGAAAGCCATCGGGGTCGTCATCCTCGAAGTGGCCTTGCTGGAGCACCTTGATGTGGTGCTCGTAGATTTTCAGGGCCGGCCCGAGGCGGATGGACAGGCCAGTCAGCACGTCTGTGCGCTGCATCAGCAGCAGGGACTTGCCGTCAATTTCCTGAGCAGGGGACAGGGACAGAGAGCGAGCAGGGTCAGAGCACACCCAGCTGAGGCTCTGTGTATGGACGTGGAGGCCCAGGCGGGGACTCACCTGTTCTTGGAACGCGGTGGCCTGCTCCGGGAAGCCGGCCTCGGTGAAATACTCCACCACGTCCATCACTGTCCACTCCACGGGGTCCGCCGGCTTCTCTTTGCGCCCGGGACTGCGAGGAAATAGGGGGCACCGGTGAACGCTGATGCCCCTCTGGCAGTTACACACTCCTGCGCAGCCACGCCCCCACATCTCCAGCACCCCGACTTACGGACAGCCAAAGGGAGTCCCGTCGGCCGCAGGTAGGGCTGGTTTTCCTGGGGGCAAAGGCACGGGGGACGGGGAGTCTGGCCCGGTGGTAACAGAGACTGGGGAAGAACAGAACACGTGCCTGTGGCTTTGTCCCGGGGCTGGGGTCCTCCCTCCCGGCACGCTTCCCCTGCCCAGAGGGGTCCTCACCTGATCCCCCTTCCTTATTCATGGCTGCCATGGAGAACACCTGGCGGGTGCCACTGCCGGGCGCTGGTCCCCGCCCCTCGTCCTGGCCCTGGTGGGGGCCACAGGGCGTCCACTCTTTGAGCCTCTCCTTGGCATTCTGAGGGCCCCGCTCGCCGTTGAGCTGGTGGTGCTGAGCGCCGGCAGGACGGTCGCTCTCGGGCACTTCGGAGCCCTCGGACACATCGTCTTCGTCGTCTTCGTCGTCTTCGTCGTCCTCTTCCTCTTCTTTCTCAAGCACTCGCTCTTCTCCACCTCTCTGGGGCCGGGGGGAGAAGCACGCCAGGTCAGCGGTGGTTCGAACCCTGGACCCGGGCCCTGGGACCCGAGACCGAGTCGCGTGCCCAACGCCGCTCTGAACAACCACGCGGACTAACTTTTACGCATCACTCCGTGCCAGGCTCTGTGTCTACAAAAAGCCCCCGGCAGCCAGACCTCACCGAACTCGCCCAACAACCCCAAGGGGTCGCTACTGTTACCAAGCCGCGCTCACGGCGGAGGAAACTGAGGCCGGGGAGAGGCAGTCACTGGCCAAGGTCACCACGCGCCGAGCCCGCAGGAGCGCGCGGAGCCCGGCCCCCGCCGCCCAGGTCCTCCCGGGACTCGCGCCCCGCCGCCAACTTCGCCC